GGCATTTATCCCCAAATTAAGTTAAGAGCTATGGTGTAAAGGAGAGAAAAAAGACCTCAAGAATGGGACAACTGAGCACAAGAAGAGAGGGAAGGAAAAAAAAATAAACAAAACAATAAAAGGCTGCAACTTGCTCCCAGGCACTGGAGAAAATGAAACAAGGTTGGAAACTATTAGTGCTCTTAGTCATTATCTCCTTCGTCTTCCTCTCCTTCTCCCTCATCAAAATCTTCATCTTCCTCCCCTTCATCTTCATCCTCTTCTTCATCACTATCTTCCAAACCTTCTTTATTGTCATCATCATCTTCCTCGCCTCCTTCTTCATCATCCATATCTGGAACCAAATAGGACTGTAATGGATTTGGCCAAATATCATCTTTTATGACCTCTCCTAATCCATCTGCACCAGCATCAGAATGATCAGTGAACCAAGTAAAGCAGTTCTCTGGTTCTTCAAGCTGCCTCTTCCTGCTGGCTTTAGTCTGCGTTTTACTTGAACGTTTCGTCAAGTCCTTTCCAGATTTCCATTTGATTTCAGTTCATTTTGAGGACGGATCACCACTCTCATTCAAATTCTCTCTGGAGAAAATTTCTTTTTTAAGTAAGGATTTCTATCAAAATAAAAATCTATTCTGTAACCTAATTTAATATCTTCAAATTCTGTCACTTTAACTCCGGTAAAATTAAGCAGTGTCTCTTCACCTTACTCCCTGAGCCATGCAAACACTTGTGGATGGCTGACAAATGTTGTTACTCATAAATTTGGGGTTTTGGCAACGAACTCTGACCTCTTTTGAAAGAATGGTTGGCGGAATTTGTTATATTTCTGTTCTACTTTCAAAATCTCACTGGCTTGTTCATTAAGTCTGTCTATTTAATTTTGTACTTCATCAATATGTTCAATTGCTTCCTGTTGTCCTTTTCCCCCCTTTGGCAAGTTCACAGAGGCTGTCTCCTACAGGCGACAATTTTTTTAATTTGTGGCTGAAGGGAAGACAGGCATTTTGGGGTCATGCTGCAAGCAAAGTCCAAGAACTAGAGGAATGAGATGTTGTTGTTGTTGTTATGTGCCGTCGAGTCGCTTGCGACTCATAGCAACACCATGTACAACAGCCCTAAACTCTGCTCTGTCCTGTGCCAATCGCACTGTCTCTGACACGCCCATCCCGATTATCCCAGTCACTGAATCAATCCAACTCATAGAGGGCCTTCCCCTGCTGCGCTGTCCCTCCACCCTCCCAAGCATGATGTCCTTCTCCAAGGACCGGTCTCTCCTCACAACATGTCCAAAGTATGTTAGACGGAGCCTCAGAATCCTTGTGCAAGCTGTAATTGTTAACAACCTCAATCTCTTCTCCATCTATCATGGTGCTGCCAATTGGTCCAGTGGTGAGAATCTTTGTTTTCTTAATGTTGAGCTTAGATCCATATTGAATATTACAGTCCTTGACCTTGACCTGCAGCAAGCAATTAAGGTCATCTTCAGTTTCAGCGAGTAAGGTCGCATCATTTGCATAAGTGTAATAATGAATGAGGTCAGTGTATCAGAGATGGTGAAGATGGCATAGGCTAGAGCAAGATTCAACTCCGTTGTTCACAGGGTCGCTATGAGTCGTGGTCAAGAGCACAGAACACCACCACTTTGTACGAGGTCCTATCCTTTATCAACTATCTCAGTTCATCCTCACAACTCAGTAAAGCCGGTATTTTTATTCCCATTATATGGAAAAGAAAAATTCCCATTATATGGAAAAGAAAATTGATCAGAGAGATCAGTAACTTTGCTGGTAGCCACAGGACCATCCTGGGATCAGCTCTAGCTGTGGGTAAGTTTTCTGACTGTGACACTAGACTACTCACTGTCTCCATACCCTCCTCCCCTGACAGACCAGCCCATTATTGGGTAAGAAATGAGAATTGCCAGAGGCAGACGGTTCGAATCCACCAGATGCTCTGCCGGGAAAAGGAGGGACAATCTCCTCCTGTACCAGTCAGATCTGATTTGACGGTACACTCACACAAAAATTTAAAAAAAAAAAAATTAAAAAAAAGAAATGAGAATTGAAGTCCCCTTCATTTAGGGGCCGATCACTCACCATTCACCATCCTCTAAGACCTGTGATGGGGGCCACACTGTTACTTGAGGGACTTCCCTGTGACTAAAAGCCACAGAAACATGCTTAAACAGGCCCTTGAGAGCAACTCCTCTGTGGGCAGACTGCTGTGGCCCAAAGCACTTTCCCCGAATTCTTGAATGTGACCCTCCCTGCTCACTGGTGGGTAAGGATGAGGAGATCAGGGATGTGAGCCCACAAGTAGGACTAGTACGTGAAAGGCCACACTCTCACGCAGGTCTTTCAGCTCAGAAAAAATCAGAGCTCCTGCTTGTCAACCATCCTTGCTGTCTCTAAACTCCAGGGTTATAAATGTTAGCTGGCAGATAAGTGGGACAGGCAGGGTTGCCATGGAAAGAAAGTTCAGGGACCCCACCCACAGCAGCCTTGGTGACAGGAAGGGGGAAGGGAAGGCTGTAAGAACTGAAGGGGGTTATAGAGGCTAGTCTGTCCCCATTCTTTAACCATTGAGGGTTTCTTATTTTTCAGAGTCACTTCAGTGTGTCAAGGTGTCCCCAGGCCTGGAGCCCCCCAAAGGAAAGTGATCCCTAATCAGGGCATCACCTTCCCCAAAGGGATGACACTTGAAGGGTGGGGCTGAGGCCATGTGTGGTGTCACAGGCTGCCCAGATCTCCCATACCTTCCTCCCTCACACCCCAGTCCCTCCCTGGAAGGGCAGGTTTAAACTGAGCTTTAAGTGGTTTTTGTGGTTTTGGGGCGTAAGGAGGATGGGAAAGAGAACTACTCCCCAGTTTCAAGCCACTACTACCACCCCCACACCCTTCTCCCACCTCTAGGCTGCCTGCCCCCTGCATTGAGATTCCCCAGACTGATAAGGAGACTTAGGCACGTGGGGGGGGGGTGAGTTGATTCTCTGATGCTTATCAGACTCTTTCTTGCATAAGAATGTATTTGAGGAGGGAAAAACCACTGCACTGATTTGAAAGGCGAGATTCCTCTGGAAAAGTGGCAGTGATTGCAGCAAGAAGGAGAAAGATTAGATATTAGGAGGGACTTCCCAAAAGAATACCCAAGATACCTTCTTGTCCTGGAAAGGAAGGATTCCAGCCACCCATGTTCAGGTGAAGAGATAGATGAGGATGTCTAGGAAGAATGTGACTCTCAACCCTCAGCCACTTCCTCCCACCCCACACAGTGGTACGAAGTGGCCCACAGCGCAGCCCGGCACAGTCAGTGTGCACCCCCAGGCTTGCTTCATGGCCTCCTCTCAGCGTCCACAACTGTGGGGGGAGCTCTTTGAGATCTAGAGTCACAGATGAAGAGAGATGTAGAGACAGGCAGGGCCTGGCAGGAGGAGAACTAGATGATGGTGGATGGAAGCAAAGATAGTCACTGAGTGGGGACAGACCATGGCCACACACAGACATAGGCACTTCTAGGGAAGGACCTCTATGCCTCTTTCTGGCGCTCCTTGTCAGCTTGTATGTGTCCCATCATTCTTTGACCATCACCAGAGATGCTGAGTGGGGTGGTACCTCTTCCTCCAAATATACCCGAAGGGCAGAGCCCCCACAGACCGACATCCTGTGTAGTACAGAGACGTGTACCTACACAGTGGGCCTGGAAGAAGATGCAGAGATCTTCATATCCTCAGAGGCACTGACACACACCCTCAGACTCAGCACAGGAAAGTCTCCCTCACTCACCGCCCTGTAGCTGGTCAGCTACCAAGGGAGTTGGAAAGTCCTCTCTTTCTAACCTTTGTCCCTCAGGCTGCAGCCTTTGAGTGACTCTGGGACTACTCAGGCACAGAGGTGCTGATGGTAGCGACTCTGGGGTGGGGCAGGAGTGGAGGCTGGTGAGGTGGGAGGGCAGGAGATGGAAGGGACAGCTGCCTAATCTTTCCACGCCAGGTGCCACGTGCCCCAGGTGGGGGGAGTGGGTGAGTCACGAGGCTGCGGTGTGGCTGGCTCCAGCTCTCCTGTTTACCAGCTGGGATTCGAGAGCAGGAGGAGGTGCCAGGGAGCCTCCCCACTGCAGCCTGGCCCTTGGCCAGCCAGCCTGTTGGGTAACCGGGAGAGCCAGGCCCAGCTAATCAAACTCTGGACTGAGGCTGTGGTATGAGAGAGGTGACACCCAGGCTCCATAGGCTCTTGTCCTGGGCCTCCCTCAGAACCCTCAGTGTGGGCACCAATGTGTGCCTCCTGGGTCAGGGGGCCTCTCCCCCCAGGCTGTTAGTCCTACCTCTCAACTCTCACCCCCCACCCACCCCGTTCCTCCATCTTTTTTTCCTCCTCCAGGCCTGTCCCAGCCCCCAGCAGATCAGACAATGTGGGTATGGATGCATCTGGGAGTCCTAAGAAGGAAGAAATGCAAGGAACAGATGCCAACCAAGCAGGCAGATGCTTCCAGGAGCTGAAGCGCTGGTGAGATGTGTCTGATCCCATCCTGAAGAAGAGGTAGAATCCCTCTAAACAGGTCCTCTGCTTCCTATCTCTCTTGTCCTCACCCTACCCCATCCTCTGTTTCTGTGGTCCATCTTGATTAAGCAAAAACACATGCTTCGACTCTGAAGTCACAAGTCCTGAGTTCAAATCACAGCTCGACCATGTACTGTCCTCGTGACTCTTGCCAAGTTATTACTAAGGCTTATCATTTGATGCCAATAAATATGACGTAATTATGCTTACTTTATAGTGGCATTGTGAGGATCATATAAAGTTATGAACGGACATAAAGTGCTTGGCAAAGAGGCCAGCACACAGTAGGTGCTCAGTGGATTCTGGTTTCCAACCTTGCATCAATCATTTCTCCTCAAGCCTCCACAGTCTGGTTTTCTGGCTTTCTTCCCTCTCCCTGTGTCCCTTCCCAGTACCAGGACGCTCTGCCAGCCACTCCTCTCCCCTGCCTGCTGACGGGCCAGGTGCTCCCTCCCTCCTCCCTCCCCTGGGCCTTGCTCCCTGCCCTCCTGGGCAGCCAGGGCAGCAAGGACGGCACCCAGGGAGCTACCCCATGGACAGGGCCCCACAGAAACAGCACCAAGCCTCGCAGGGTAAGAGGGCCTAGGGCCCCTGCAGGCAGGTGGAAGAAAGAGAGGGGAAGAGGCTGGGCAAGAAGTGAGGAGGGGCAAGATGAGAGAGAGAAGGGGAGAGATGTACTGGCATGGGAATGCAGGAGGGTAAGACAGGATGAGGCTTGAAAGAATGAAAGAGAAGTAGGCAAGGTGGCTGGGGACAGGACAGGTAGGACTGACAGGGGAGAACAAGAAATAGGGGAAGAACAGGGGCCCAATCACGAGGAAAGAGAGGGAGAAGAAACAGGTGGGGAAAGGGGAGGAGAAGGGAGAGAGGGAAAGCTGTCAGGAAAGCTAGATCAGTGGGCCTGAGGGACCAGAGGCTAACAGACCCCCTGCGGTGAGCTCAGTGAGCATGTGCAATTTCACTGATGTCTCTAGAGCCGCTCAGCAGGCTGGGACCCCCTGGCAGCAAGCTGGTCACTCCATCAAGTTTAGTCAATAAAGGAGAAAGCTGTCCTAACGTTAAGAAGTGACAGCCTGGGGGGATGGGAAGCCAAGGAGAGGAAGCAGCCACGCCCCATGGGGCTGCCCCTGCCCACTAGCCTGGCACCTTCCTCCCCACCTGCCCAGGGCTATAGGGTTTCATTTCTGCAGAGAGGGGGTGATGGGGCTGAGGAAGGCGTGGATGGAGAGCCAGGCAGTCTTTGGCCCCACAGATGGCGGAAACTCAGGGACCCCCTTGGAGTAAGATCCTACTACATGCTTGCTCAGCTGTGTGAGTGGGTGCCAGAACTGCTGAGCTCCAGGGCCACCTGGCAGAGCAATTCTGCTGCCTGTGCAAGGGAGGGACGTGCCCCCAACACTGGGGCAAGAACTGCTTTGAGGTGCAACGCTGGAGGCCGGAGAGGTGCCACGTCAGGGAGGAAGCTGAGTGGGGCCAGGCGGGATCAGTGGAGGCAGGAGGAGCCATGGAGCCACTCCCTCCATGGGCAGTCCTTCCTCTGTCCGGGTTGAGCCGGCCATGCTTCCCGCCAAGAGCCTCGCAGGAGGCATCTCCAGAGCAGCAGGGCAAAGTAGGAAGTGTCTAGGATTGGATAGCAGTAGCAGGGAAAGTTCGTAACCAAAAGAATAGTCAGAGGTTATGGGAGGAGCAGGGACCACAAGGCAGGGCTACAGGGTTTTCTGGGGCAGGCAAGCAGGCCCTGTGCGCTGTTGGAAGCCGTTGTGTGGATGTAGGAAGTGGACCAAAGTCTGTCAGGGGAGGCCTCCTTTGGTAGTTGTTTCATAAATGCTATCTGTACAGATATGTCTTGGAGAGAGTGCACTCCTTAGAGGCAAGGAGGGCGAAGCTTTATCTCACTTCAGGCATGTTGTTAAGAGGGGCGATTCCTTGGAAAGAGACATCATGCTTGGAAAGGCAGACCAAGGATATGAAGCAAAGGAGAGGAAGACCCTCAATGAGATAGATTGACACAGTGACTGTAACAGTGGGCTTAAGTATATTCAAGATAATGAGGACAGCACAAGAGAGGACAGGGTTCAGTTCTTTTCATAGGGTCACTATGAGTCACATACTCTAAAACAACCACCACCATATAAATGAACAGCTCCAACTATGCACACTAGCTAAGGCTCTCTGCTCAAAGCTACCATCAGCTGGTCTTTGCTGTCCCTCCTGGAGGTCCATGTGCCTCTGCTCCTCCATGGCAACTTCCCTGTGTCCCCCAACTGCCTGCTTTCCCCCTGAAACCAGCAACAGTACAGAGGTTCCCCCTTCTACAGGCTGAGGGCCAGCACAGCCAGCCTCAAGGAAGATGGGGGGCTGTGTTTTACAATTCTCCCCTCCACTTCCTCCATCTCCTTCACACCTTCCTCCCACTCTCCAGAACTCTGGAACTCCTCAATGCTTCTGGGATCAGATTAGCAAACAGGAGAACATTAGTTCCCACAGAATTTTAATGTGTCAGACACGACTGAAAGCTGGAGAATGGAAGGTGAACCAGACAGACACAGAGCCTGCCCTCAGAGAGCTCAGTCTAGTGGGAAAGGCTCGTGTCATAGAGAAATAAACCACGATGACAGTTACTAAATGTGACCAGCGCCAGGAGATCAAATGTAAGGTACTGTGAGAGTGTGAACATGAAGGAGGGCGTATGTAAGGCTTCCCCAAGGAAGAGACACAATCTGAGGTCTGAGAGCTACAGAGAGGTCTAACAGCCGGATAGCCGGTATGGGAGGGAGTGCGAGGTGCAGAAGGGAAGAGTGTTCCAGGCAGAAGGAACAGTTGATGGAAGTCCCAGAAGCAGTGAGGAACCTGATGCTTTTAAGAACTTGGAAGAGAAAAAAAAAAAAAGAAAACGTGGAAGAGAAGGTAATACGGGAGCAAAGGTGCTGCAGAGCGAGAGCGTGAGCCCCATCTTCTCCTCAGACACCAGTCTGTTGGAAAGGAATGGGGAAGTGATAAATAGCTGTGGATGTGGTGTTTCCCTCTCAGCCCTGCCCCAAGGACTGGCCTCTAGCTTTGAACCCTGACAACTTCTTCTCTTCTCTTTACAGAGCTGCTGGCTGCAAAGAAGACCCACACCTGTGAGTGGGGGAGTTGGGAGGGGCAGGAACTGGTGCTGGAGTGTGGAAATTGAGCAGAGAACCCAGCTAGGCCTCTAGGAGGTTCTCTAAGAAGGGGCTGGATTGGACAGAGGGACAGAGGGGAAAGGGGCAGGCAGAGATGGCAGGGGCCTGGGTAGAAGTGAAGCCCAGAAAAGCAGGGAGAAGACAGGTAGGTAGGAAAGTCAGGGAGTAGAAATGAAGAAGCTGCCTGAGAACCTATGGTTAATGGAAGGCAATAAAGAAACCTGAAGAGTGACTGGGGAGAGAACATTGCAAAGAAACCAAGAGAGAACAGAGGAAAAGGGGAAGTCTAAGGAAAGGAGACAGGATGGGGGTTGTCAGCAGCGTGCTGAAGGGTGAGGAAGGAAGCCAATGGAGTTCAGTGGGTGCAGGGGTGGACCGAGCACTGCTGAGGGGGACAGGAGCCTGGCTTTGTGGCTACAGGAGCCAGGCTTGGTGTTAGTTTCTGCGGTTAACACTAACACGTCCTGAGGTGTAAACAGGCCTGGATCGGGGCTGTGTACTGGAAAGCAGGGAAGCTCCTAGGAAACAGACTGGGCAGGGGTGCTGTGAGAGACGGTTCACAGAAACACCTGTGCTGCAATATATGAAGCGAGCAAGGGCTCAGGAAAGACTTTCCGGTGATCACTAGTGAGTAAGCCTTTTCCAGAGGGACCTGTCAGCTCTACCCTCTAGGTTTGTGGGAGCAGTTACTCCTCCAGGAAATGCACCCACTGCACCTCAATCCCAAATCCCACCAGGGCATGCCGGAGCCCCCTCAGGAAGCCTGAGTCCCTGCGTTGGTAAGGGTCACCCTGAGGAGGAAGGCATCCTGTGCTTCTTCACAGCCCTCTCTGGGATTGCCTACCAGTTCAGTTGCCATTCCTCCAGCAGCCAGGACTTCCCAGAGCAGAGACATCTCAAAGGGCGGCCACAGCAACACCCTCCCCCATGGGCCAAGCAGACAAAGGCTGGGGGGGCATTCAGGAGGCTACATCCTCCAGGGTGGGGGGGTTGCTTTGCTCAGCACAATCCTGCCTCTAGCCACAGGGCCCCACGGAAATGCTGAGCAGGGCCTCGGGAGGAAAGCGGGTCAGGGAGTGACGCGGGTGAACTAAAAAAGGTGGGGAGGGGGGGACTCAGATCATATGTGGGTGGGGGGAGTAGCGGGACTTTTGGAGCAACTGGAACTGGGAGAAGCCAAGCCCCTTTCCTACGCTTTACCCTTTAGCATAGAAACCATAGTAAGACCACACCCCCTTCTTCCCTTTCTAATCCACTGATCCTGTTCCTGGAATCCATGTCCAGGTCTCGCAGTTCCAGCAAACTCAAGGCAGCCTAGCCTTTGGGAAAGGGTGTACCAGGCCCAGCCACTGTTAGAGGCCTGTTAGCAGCTTTGTTCCAGTGAGACCAGGAGGTATAAACCTTTAGACTGAAAGGCTCTGGAAAATGGCCACCAAATGTAGACATTCCCAAGAATGTCCAAGTTTAGGACCCCTCGAGAGGACCTCCAGATCAAGATTAGGTCTGATACTGAGGGTTCCTGAAGGACTCTCAAGATTTGAGATGCAGGTGTGAGGTGGATAGGGCCTCTAACATTGATTGACACCCTCCAAAAAGACCACCAGATGCAGATGCTCTATAGAGAGACCCATATGTGAGGAGGCTTCCCAGGCCAAGATATTCTTGAGAGTGGATTTGAAGCCTTCTCCCTTCAGTGGAATCAGGAACCATCTGCCTGATTTTGAATCCTGACTCTGCCAGTACCTGGCTGCATGACTGCGGACAAATTACTCAACCTCTCTGGGTCTCATTTTCCTTATCTTTGAAATGACGCTAATAGTACCTACCTTATAAAGTTACTTTGTGAGGAAAAAAGAAAAGTTGTTTTGTTAGGATTACATAGACAATCCATGTAAAAGAATTAGAACATTTTCTGGCATGTAGTAAGCACTATTATTATCTTTTGCCTTCCATTTTTAGTAATTTTGCTCCTGAAGAAATTTTTTTAAAAATTTATTATTAATTTCAGATGAAGACATTTTTTAAGAACTAACCCCTTCTGCAGATAATGCCTTGTGATTGTTACTGCTGTTACTATTCTTCCTTCCCTAGCCCAGACACACATCGTGTGTACAAAAGGGTTGTGAGGATGGTGGACAGTGGGGAGACTCCCAGGCTGCACCACGTGGGGCAGGGCTCTCAGCAGCCCACAGGGTCTCAGTGGCACATGCCACCATGTTAGGCATGCTTGTTGAGACTTACCTCTGGAAATAACCTTGTCATCTGGCAAAGAGGGTCAGGCTCAGGGGCTCCTGGGGGGCGGGAAGGAGCAGGAACCTGACCCCAGGTTTGTGTGTGCTCCATTCTGACTCCCCAGCCAGAACCACCCTAGCGGGTGGAAACAGCTCTTACCGCGTGTGGCTGTCACATGTGGTTTTGGAATTTTCCAACACCCCCTTCTATTGGCTGCCCCGCCTCTCACACCCTCCCCCTTTGCCCCTACCCCAGGCCCAGATTGGCCACATGGGGCACCTGTCATCCTACTCACTGCACCCCTGGGGTGCAGAGTTGGGGGGTTGTCCCTGGGCCACCTGTGCAGTACAAAGATTAAACACCCCCCCTGCCCAGAAAGCTTGAAGAGAGAGCTGGGTGCAGAGCTCTGGGCTGAGGCATCTCTGAAAAGGCCAGGCCCTCCACCCTCACAGCTGACTGTGCCCCATCCCTGGATCATCCCAGCTGAGGAGGACAGGCTCAGTCATGAGAAGTAAGTGACTGGGCCACCTGGGACAAGGGCAGCCTGGATGCTGGTGTCATTCCTGAGTCCTCTAGAAAGGGACAGTGGGAGCAGAGTGAGAAAAGTGGAGGAGCAAGCATGCTTACCTATAGTGGGGTGTGTCCCGATCTGATCTGAGGACATGCGTGGAGTAGTTGGGGAGTCTGTTTCCCAGTCAGGTTCCTTACAACCTGAACAGTACAGGGAATGCTGAAGGACTCTTCAGAGATGGGCTTTGGACAGGATTTCTAAAGGTGTCTGAGGTATTCGGGCCCATAATCTTGCAAAAGAGACAGATATGAGGAAACGGGATGCTTTGCCTAACTGATTAAGGCTGCTAACAGGCGACCTGAACTTAGTCTCCAGCCTCTGGGTGCAGTGTCCCTCCCTGCCTCCAGCTTGAATGGTGTGGAAAAGAAAGTCACAGGAGTTGCTGTGCCCTCAAGTAGCAAGACAGAGAGAATAAGCCAAGATCAACACAAAGAGAGGTCAGAACCCAGCCTCTAGGCCTCAGAGCCACCACTATAGGCTTTGTGCCCAGTCCGGGGACATGAAGAGCAAGTGTAGTACAGTTAGGGTGCCTTGTCATATGTGTGTGTGTGTGTGTGAGAGAGAGAGAGAGAGAAAGAGAAAGAGAGAGATGCATTCTCCAGGTTTAGTCACCCCATTGGTGGGGGAATAAAGGCCAAGAAGATGGGAGCAGAAAGCCTTTGGCCTTACTGTCTTGCTGGCTAGGCACCATGGGCTAACAGCTGGTGGGCAGTCGTCTTTGTACCTTCTAACAGAGCAAGGGTGGGCAAGTCAGCCAGCCACCTGCCTTTCCCCACCCCCACATTCATATAAGGGAGGCTAGAGAACTTCACAAACCACAGAGTTAAGATGGAAAAGGGAAGCCCCATGCCGCTGTGGCCTGAGGCCTGAGGCAGCCCAGCCTCAACCTGGGTTCTTCCCACAAGCCACAGGAGGGAGGCCATATGGGATCCTGGAAAGACCCATGGACTGAGAGGCTAAGTTCAGGTTCTGACACCATTCTGTCATTGGGCCCTGGTCTCTTGATCCATCAAACAAGGGAACAGAATTTAAAAGAAAAACAGTATCTAGGAAACTGTGAAGAGATGCCCAATTCTAAGGGCTCAAGATTGAGGAGAGAGCCCAGTTCCCTGAGCTCAGCATCTACCAAGGGGAATAGAAAAGACTCAACTGTTCTAGAAGGTCAGAGAAAGGATGAATGGCTCCATTTCCATGGTGGGGACCGAGATTCCATGTGTTTACCAGCTGGATACAGAAGGGCGGGTACAAAAGCCAAAATCTTCCAAACAGGAACAAGAGTCCTTTAGTGGTTCAATGTTACTTGTCCTTTCTCCCCATTAGCAGCAAAGAATGGCCGACTGGTCTTCCCAGAAGTGGACCTAAATGAGCGAATCCACTCTGGAAGGCTTCAGAGCCCAAGCAGAGGGCAACGCCTGGTTGAGGCTGAGGGAGACACTGAGGTAGCTCTGCATACCCCCCCCACCCAGGCTCTGCCAAGTTTGGCAGGTGGAAGAGAGGGTCTCCTCCAATGGGGGTTGGTTCAGTGTCACTAGCCCTGCTCCTGTGGCCACTTCAGGGCATCTTACCTCTTATATGACTCACTCCCCAGTGAGTGCCAGCCACCACACCCTCTGATCACAGCTGGAGAGAGAGCACAGAGCCAGCACAGTGACACACCAAAGACCAAGGGCCAGACACTCAAGGAGCAAAAACACATAGCGATAACCCAGAGGGCAGAAAGTTTATGAGATGCATGGGGAGAAAGCGATAATCCAGGTAGAAGCATCAAATACCAGGAGAGACAAAACCATTGAGGCGCAAACCCCAGAGGCCATTCTGGAGTGCAAGAGAAGGAAAGCTACACAGACAAAAAGAAAGGGAGAGAAAAGAGACTGACAGGGAAGGGGAGATATCTGGTTATTGACAGGGATTGAGAGGCACAGTGTGTGCTCCCCTACTAACCTAAAGGTTAGCAGTTCAATCACCCCTGTGGGTACCACAGAAGAATGACCTGGCAATCTGTTTCCATGGAGGTTACAGCTGAGGAAACCCAATGGAACAGTAACAACAACAAACCCAGACCCACTGCCTTGAGTTGGTTCTGACTCATAGTGACCCTCTGACCATAGTCAGGTCTCTGGGGCTATCAATCTTTTTTTTTTTTTTCAGTTTC